CACGGAGAATCTGTCACCCCAAAAAAGTAAGCATTGCTGGCTTAGGGTGTCATGCAGAACTCTTATGAAAAAATCATCTTAACCAAGAAACTCTAAAAATTGAGGTTTTTAGAGTTTTGACACAATATTTGAGCATTTACACAATAATTATGTATTTTTATCTTACTAAATGAATTTTGACAAAGGAGGTTACAAATAACACAATTTTGCTCAGAAATAAACACTTGTAATAACATATTATCCCATTTTTAAAGAGTATAAGGAATAACTAAATAATATTGCTCTTTATTTGAGATATAATTGGTATATAACATATATTAGTTTGACATATACCACATAATGAACTGCTATTTGTCTGGACTATGAAATGCTCACCATAATAAGTTCAGTTAACATTCATCACTGCACACAGTTATAATATTTTTCTTCTGATGAACACCTTTATACATTTTTATCATTTCTTTAAGAATTGGATGTATAGGAGCAAAAACCTTTCATGCTCATACTTAGATACTTCAAGGACATATAACAGAATTATTAACCATAGTCACTGTGCTGTACATTACCTCCCAGAACTTATTTATTTTATAATTGGAATTTTGTAACTTTTGACCACCTACACTCATTTCAACCAAGTCATAAAGATTTCAAATATTTTTTAGGTTTTTTTTGCCTCATCCTGGTGATATTTACAAGAGCAGCCCATTACTGGAAGATGACCATGTCAAAACTTGTTCATCATCAGAACACTTTCTCCATGTATTTGTAGTTCATTTCATGCAATTTCAAAATTAATGAACTTGTATTACTGAGAAGCTAGTTTAATATAGTCCAAATCTTCTGTACTGTTTTAATTCTAAGTTCAAAATTTATTATACTAGAAGGAATGCTAAAAATGCCCACACATTTTATAAAGATAGATTAAAAAATCATAAGCTACTGAACACCATTTCTTTGACTTGAAGATCAATACTACGTGTTTAGCTTAAATAATTATTTAACCCTTAAGCTTTATCTTTTTTAATATGCCATAAATCAGTGGGTATTTGAACCAAGGGAGCTTTATAAATCTAGAATATAGTTGGGTTAATTAATTTCAGTGCATTTATGTCATTTCTACAAAAATTGAACAGATAGGAGTTTTAAGAAGTTTTAAGTTTTAAGAAGACACTGTATCTTGTTCACTGATAGCATCAATGGATATAGACCTAGTTTTTTTTTCCTGTTTTATGAGAGAGGTGGTATTAGTACTGTGGCTGAGAGCCAGAGCTCTGAAGCCAAACAGGTTGAGATTGATTATATACTCTGTCATTAATTATACAATCACCGGAGTTTGTTCAGTCTGTGTGCCTCAGTTTCTCCAGCTATGAAGTGCAATCATAGTTAGGCTTTCTGGGAGACTTAACTAAGTAAAGGCATGTAAAACACTTTAAACAGTGCCTGACACAAAGTAAATATTTAATAAATATTGATGATTATTCTTAGCAATTATAGTCTGGTAGATTGACTATTAAATGTAATGTTTTTACTACCTTGTATGAATTTAATCTCACTTGATAGATCAAAGTCAGCATGCTAATGACTTTCTTGTGGCCAGAAGTCAAAGATGAATGTCATTTGGCCAATAAAAGGAATACATATATATGACTGAGTCACACATAACCTCTGTTTTCAAATAAGTTCATTCTTTTTAATCATCATATTATTTAAACAAATATTTGGATATTAAGGTTGATATATTATTTCTCTCAAAGTATTCATAGCAAAATGCTGTCTTTAGAATTAATTTAAAATAATGCACATTTAAAAAACTATTTTTCCCTGGCTGGTGTGGCTCAGTTGGTTGGGCATCATCCCACAAATTGATGATTGCAGTTTGGATTCCAGGTCAGGGCACATGCTTGGGTTTCAGGCTTGGTCCCCAGTCAGGGGATATACAAGAGGCAATCAATGTTTCTCTCCCTCTCTTTCCTTATCTCTGGAATCAATTTTAAAATGAAAAAAAAACATATTCCAATGATGATGGATTCATTAGGCTCATGGTTGCAAAAGTGACAGAGGGAACAAAATTAAGTAGAGCTCATTTAAGAATAACAAAAGATCATCAACCTCATTCTAAAAGTTTATAACTCTTTTTTTATCAGTAGACTTTAGAAGTCGTATATCACAGTTCTGAAACCTCTTTAGCAAAATACCAAGGCTGGTCCTTAGCATTCCTTGGAGTCAGTAAATCTGGACTAAATATGTATTTCTGGTCTGTACCACTAATGCCATTGTTAGTAGACTCTCTGGGCGGTCACCTGACAGAAAAGTGGAGAAACATGCTGTCATTATTTCAGGCAGCATAAATGCAACCCCAGGGTGGAAACTGAGAAAATGTAGGACTTCCTTGACTTTGCCAGCTCCTGAACAAGCTCTTTACCACAAAGATAAACAAGGGAGTCCCTCATCAAAACGTGTTAACTACATAGAAAGCTTAAAGGGATTAACCATGCAGGAGGCTAAAATGTAATCAGACAGGTAAAATAGCAATAAGATAAATATTCCTTCCTCAAATAGAAATAACAGTTTGTTTGTTCTTTCACTGTGTGGTAACTGAGTTTAGAGTATTTGTGAAATATAATATAGTCTTTAAAATATGCCCTTTCATCTTGCAGGGTAGAGACATGATAGAGAGTTGGAGACATACAAAATGAGAAATTACTGTGTGTTACATTAATTTGAAATATTTTCTGATATTTTCATAGACTTAATTGCATACAGTTTAGGTGCCATACTCTCTACTGGTGATGCTATAGGAAGATGTGTGTACTTTTTAATTATGGCAAGTGAAGTTCAGCTGTCAAATTCTTGTTTGTAAACCTTGTCATCAAATAATATGCAAACAGAATAATACAGCAATGTTCAAAGTGAAGCTAAAACTGGTATGTTTCTGCCTTTGTCTCTGGAATAAATGAGAATAAAGATCTGTAAAAAGTGAATATACAAGTTTTTCTATGTCTGGTATGCACATTAAACTCAGCTAATCTGTTTTATGCACCATTGATAAGAACATTCCTCAGTTTACTGAATGAATTTGCGATTGCTCTGTATGTGAGTTTATGCATTTGCTTGTATTTATGTGTAAGTTTTAAATACATAATTCCAGAAATGTACTTTCACTTAGCCTACAGGGGATTGTAATTATTACATTATGTATATTGATCTAAATCTAAATACATTATAAGCTAAGATTCATCTGTGAAAGTATTATCTATAGAATATTCATTCACAGGCATATTCTGTAATGTTTATAAGAAATGGAAATCAGCCCTGGCTGTGTGTAGCTCAGTGGATTGAGTGCGGGCCTATAAACCAAAGGGTCACTGGTTCAATTCCCAGTCAGGGCACATGCCTGGGTTGTAGGCCAGGTCCCCAGTAAGGGGGTATGCAAGAGGCAACCACACATTGATGTTTCTCTCTCTCTCTTTCTTCCCCCTTTCTCCTCACTCTAAAATTAAATAGATAAAATATTTAAAATAATGGAAATCATATTGGGGTTTAGAATCGTAATTTTAAAGATTTTGCTAGAACACACTTGTTTTTTACTTTTGCTTTCTCACCATTTTCTTGGCCCCACCCAACACACTGACGCTTGTACCATAGCTAACATTCTTGTACTCATTAATATCCAGTAACAAAAAATGGTATGAACATATTATGATTGTCTTGGTGCTGACTTTCCAACTTAAATCTACTTTTTTAAAAAAATAGGATGACAGATTTTTAAAGATATTTTTAAGCTAGTTAAAATGTTAGTGTTAGCCTTGAAACATTAGATATCAAATTGATATGATTTGTCACTTTTCTGGGGTCCATATATTCTAGTAGCATGTCTTAAATAGAAAAAAATTGTAGACAGATGCAAAGTATTATTCTGAATATTAAATATGCACACACTCAAGTATATTTTAATGGAAACTTTTGATAATGTGGAATTAAGAAATATACTTAGGGAAAAACTAACTTTCTCAAAGACCGTAAGATACAGAGTTTCTTTTAAGAACAGCTCTGCTTTGTGGGAAGACAAAGAATTACAGAAGTAAGTAAAAGATTATGAAAGTGAGGAAAAGCTTTAAATACGATTAATTATTTTTCATCATTCCAATATCTTCTTGACACCCTGAAAAATCAGTTTAGTGCCTTTTATATAGTATATACCCCAAATGTTATACAGATTCCTAGAGCTGTGCTAGAAATTGTGGGGAAAATAATGAAAAAAGGAACACCGAAAATATGTTTACATTTTAGAGGTGCAGAATAAATCACTTTTATACAAATGCACAATGATGAATAGGTAAAGGCTGCAAGAAACTTCATTTTGTCTGGCAAATGAGGCTTCAAGTACAAAATACAGAGTATTGACAGCAACCGTGCTCAAGGTAACAAATGCCATTGGAAATACCTTCAGCCTAAGCAGAAATAAACTTGCAATATTCCTGTATGATGTCAAAATAACCTGTGTGGCTGGTGCTTTCTTTAAAAAATAAGAGGGAGGCAGAGAACCAAAAGAGGGCCCTACTTTAGCAGTCCCATCAAGAAGAGGTGGCTGCTTAAAATGAAAATAAAGTGTATATGATGTTATTTGTTTAAGTTTTACAATGTCATGAAGAAGTTGAATCGACAGGTACATTTAATGTTCATAGGGAAAATCTAAGACTTGCCAACAAATGCAGAAACATAAATGAATCTGATCAATAATATAGGCTTTGTATAAAGCTCTATTGCCATTCCCATTCAGTCTAAAGGGACGGTGTCTTCACATTTTTATTACTGTGATGAATTAATCTTTGGTTCAGGTGCTAAACTGTAAAGTTAATGTATTCTTTTTGGAAATTCCTTCCTTTACCTCTTGCAGAGTGACATTTCACTTTTTAATGTTTCAAGCCACATAACCGTTAAAAAATAAACTTACTGAATTTTAAACGCAGGTTTTTTTTTTTCTTTGCTTTCTCTTTCAGGAAGTTGATGGCAATAAAGTTATGTCTTCATTTGCCCCACACAACTCATCTACCTCACCTCAGAAGGCAGAAGAAGGTGGGCGACAGAGTGGCGAGTCCGTGTCTAGTACAGCCCTGGGGACCCCCGAACGGCGCAAAGGCAGCTTAGCTGATGTCGTGGACACCCTGAAGCAGAGGAAGATGGAGGAGCTCATCAAAAACGAGCCAGAAGGTAACGGCTGGGAAAGAAAGCTGTGGGCATCTCCTTATTTTAATATTTTGATTATAATCTCTGGTTCTGTTTTTGACTTATCCTCTGAGTTACATTGGACAAAATAGAAACCTGTGGATCTGAAAAAAGGTACTATTTAAATGTGGCTATTTTATTTTTTAAATCAACAAGTTCTGCTGTGATGTCTTATTTTCACAGATGAGTGAAGTTGTGGTTGAGTGAAACAAAGAGGTTAAGAATAGTATAGGAAATGGAGAAACCAAAGAACTTATATATACGACCCGTGGACATGAACCAAGGCGGGAGGGATGCTGGAGGGGGTGGCAGTGCAAGACAGAGGGGGACAAAGTGAAGAATAAAATTGGACAACTGTCATAGCATAATCAATAAAATATACTTAAAAGCATAAAAAAATAATAGAATGTGACTTATGATGTGCCTATGACAGGTGAATGGGAAGTTTTGCCAGGAGGGACTCCCCAGCTAATAGGAAGGAAAAAGCACTTTGTGACTGGAGTGGTTTCCTCTGTGTTCTCAAGGTGCTCTTATAAATGTATCTCAGTTTGGCACAAACGTTGAGTACTTGGTCCAGCAAGGAACACAATCTGTATGCATCCATTTCCCTTTTACTCCCTGTGGTCAAGGAGTGTTGAATTGTAAAACAGAGTGGATGGTGAACTGCATGTAAGAGTATGCAGGTGATCCTAATAATTATTATTTATTAAACGTGTTGTATGGCTTCACATTTGTTAGCTGAAATACTAATCCAATATTAAATTACAGTTGCTAATAAAAATGTTTCATTGTTTTTTAAAAAGGAATAGAATGTGGCAGCAGAGCCCAAGAGGCCATTTTATAACTTTATTACATTTTATAACCTTTATATATTAAAGCATCTCATACCACCTTCATAGTTAGGACCGTTACTTGTATGGTTCACAGTTAATACAGGTAGGCCTATTGAAATTTGGAAAGTAGGGGTTTTCTAACTGTTGGCTTTCCTGAACTTTGCATTTGTTCAACTTACAGGATGCCTTTCTTTTAAGGTTCTATCCTCAAAATGTCTTTAACAGTTATGGATAGCAGCATTCAGGTGACATGCACATGGACTAATCTTAAAGCAAACAAACTAATAAAACAACTAATACAAGTTGGATAATTTATGCATAACTGACAGTCATCCTTTATGTTATAGACCTTTTCTAAATTCTATGAAACCTATGTCCATCAAAGGTATGGATACCATATTGCATGCAAGAACATGCCTCCTATTTCAGAGTCAGATGAAAGATGGAAACAAACAAAAAAACACGAATATAAAAAAGACATACTTTATACCAAAATATACCACATTTATACTGTGTAATACTCATATTTATTTTATTGGGAAGCTGGTAAATTGTGAGTATATCTGGGGCAAAATATATGTCAACCAGTATATTTGGGAGCCATATGGTAATGAAGATTTCTGGGTCCCTATCAGATGCATAGTTGGGGCATGGATTTTAGTTAAAATTTATGTAATTCGCATGATCTTATAGTTGGAAGGAATTTTAGGAATAATCTAGTCAGTTAAAAACTTTTTGGCTCTCATCTGCATGCAGATAAAAATAAGATTTTGAGTAGGCCCCAGATGACAACTTTTTTTTTAATATTTGGGACTTTTTCTGATATTATAAATTTTTATCTTACTATAAGAATTGTTTAAAAAAAAACAGAAACATTAAAAGGAAGAAAATAAAAAAATCACCCAAATTGTAGCTTTCCCATAGCAGTCTTAAGCTTATTATATACTCCTTTATCTTTTCTTTTTATGTTTTTTGTTCATTTTGAATGATTAACTTTCTATTTTTAAAATTATTTTTTCTTTTATGCTGGGATACATTATCATTAACTAAAGCCCATAGTTTTTTTTATATATTTTTATTTTGACCAAGTGTGCTTTTCTCTGCTCTAGATACCTTCAGAGATAACACATTACATTTAATGGGCATGTCTCCTTGGGCTCAGTTTTGGCTGCCACAGTTTCTGAGACTATTCTTGTTATTGATAACCTTAAAAGTTCGAGGAATACTATGTAGATATACTGTAGAATGCACCTCTATTGGAATTTGCCTGGTGATTTTTCTTTCACTTAAACTGGGGTTTTAGGTTTGGAGAGGAAGGTCATAGAAGTAAAGTACTAATAAAAAGTACGTCATAGCAAGAATAAGTACTGTCTACATGATTTGTAAATGTGGATGATGACCTCGATCAACTGACTGATAAGGTGTTTGTCAGGTTTCTGCCTGACAAAGCCTCCCTGTCCCCTTTCCGTACCACACTCTCTAGAAGGAGGGTGCTATGGGCCACCCACATGGAAGGGGCAGGGAGCTTTTCTCCCCTTCTTCAGAGTGGGGTATCTACATGATTCTTCTCCATAGGAGATTTATCTCTTCTCCACCATTCAATAATTTTATTCAATTATTTATTTATATAAGTATGGACTTGTGGAAATTTATTTTACACTTTGAGTTATAGCCCAACTCTATTTTATTTTGTTGCTCAAATTGTTCAGCTTCAGCCATTGGAACCACTTTTCATTGACTTCTATGTCACTTTGACATAGAGTTATAATTGTGGGTATTTTTTAGCTTTTTTTATTTACTTCCTGGCATATAAGGTACCATGAACTCATCGTGTGCATTCTTTGTTCTAGGTCTATAGTTTTTCATGTAATGTATTTATCTCATGTTGATATTAGGACAATATTGACTTCATAGAATGAGTGAGGGGTGTTACTCTCATATGAACACTGTTAAGTTTTGTTTGAGATATATTCCTACTCTAGGACTAAGGCCCAAGAAGAACCAGCAATGCTGTGGGGTGCATTTAGTGTATGTGCATGGGGGGAGGGTTTATCTTTAGATTATGTCCTACAAGAGATTTGGTATATGACCTTGGTATTTCCCCAGTATGTCATGTTGACTTCTAGTGGATGCACAGACTCTGAATTTGGAAGTTTAAGACATGGCAAAGCCAAATGGACTATTCATAATAGGAAAGACAGCAGGAGAAAATGCTCCCCAATTTGCTTAGTAGAAGATATTCAGAGGTACTGGGAATTAGGAGAAAAGAATAATATCTAGTAATGGCTAGTAACAGGCAAAAGAAGAGAGAGAGAGCATCCACAGAAGGAGGAGATGGCACAAAGAAACATCACTATTACATGTGGACATTACACTGTTTTCATTATTGTATTTCCCACAACTTCTTCAGTACTTTTCCCCCATCAATTATAATAAAAGCTCAGCTCAAGAGTGGCTTGTTATTGAATAATATAAAGCTATCTAGAAAATACAGAGATGTCTTTATGGAAAACTAGAATATAAATTGGACATGACAAGCATCTAAAAGCCTGCATTTCAGAAAGATAACTTTGTTATGAATACAGAACCACAAGATACATTTTATATGCACGTAAGATCCTTAGATGTACATTGAATACTAACAAATACACAGTAAGTAGCCTCACTATTATTGATAAAGACATTTACCATGGCAGGAATGTTTAATAACTGTGACAACTGGGAGATTTATCAAGGAGCAACTTGTGCATTTGTGTAAAGTGATTATCTTAATCATCAAGAAAAAGATAATTGCTGCCCCAGCCAAATAGCTCAATTGGTAAGAGCATCATCCTGATACGACAGGGCTGCATGTTCAATCCCTGATCAGGGCACGTACAAGAAGCAGACAATGAATCATAAATCAGTGGAACAACACTTTCTCTCTCTCTCTCTCTCTTCCTCCTTCCCACCCACCTTCCTTCCTTTCTCTCTAAAACCACTAAGTTAATTTTTTAAAATAATAGCAGAGCCAAAAATTGTTTTATAGAAAAGGAATAGGAAATTGAAGGGGATTTCCATTATTTCTTTTTACTTTTTTACTGCAAAGAGAGAAAAAGGAGGAACTTTATCTAGGAAAATGTGTAGAAATTTCCATAGCAAGTAGAAAGTTGCACTGGTTTTAAAAATTCTACTAGTCAAGGTGTGTGTTTGGCTACGAGAATGGGCACCTGACATTATTCAAGCATCAGAACAGTGACCCTGTGCACAGTGCAAACAAGCAATCAGTAGCTCTGTGAGGTACTGTAGCATCAAAAGGGAAAATGCATAGGAAAAAATTTAACAAAAGAACTGCAAAATGTGTATTTGAGAAACTACAAAACATTGTTACAGCTCTTGGATGAGAGCAGCAATATGGGGGCGAGGGAAGCAGAGATATAGGGTGAAGGAAAGTAAATGTTAAGCTCACAAATACATGCCACAGAAAAATCTTTTCTTCCCTCAAGCTATTTTTCCCATTGTTTTTCAAAGGCCATTAAAATGAACAGCAGGTTGTGATGAAAATTTCATTAAGTCATTAAGTCCCAGCTAAATCATTATGAGGGTGCCATATTCATGCCTCTGCTTCCTCTCATTGAGGGGGGAGAACAGATTTCAGTAGAAAGTCCATATTATTTCCAGCCATATCCCTGTGCACAGTAAACTAAGAGAAATTCAGAACTTACCGGAGAATGGTGTGTCACACAAAAGGAGGCCACTGAGATGAAGTGGTCAGAAAGAAAATTAGATGTGCAAATTAGATGGATTGAAAAAAAATGGCTCTCTTATTCCAGCCAGCTTATTGTTTCAAGCAATTAATTAAATATATTTAAAAAGTTGTAAGTAGGAGAAAAGTTGTATTTTTTCATGTCTTTTCCCCCATCAGAATTTTCGCCTGGCATGACTCAAAGTGCCAGGTCTGCTGGTGGAGCTTGTTGTTTGTGCAGTGTCAGTTCATTGACATGGAACATGTTAGAGTCCCTGGGAAATTTAAAGTTCAAAATTTCTGGCTGATAAAATACAGTTACATTGTCTTTGGTAGTCACTGTGTTATACCAGTTCACTCTTATTATTAGACCTAGAAGTTAAGAATGACACTGAGTTTTAATAATATGTGACACAGAATTTCTATGT